TGCTAATTGTCGAAACCCCATGAGTCCATATCTCCTAGAAAAAAAATTCAAAGCTTTTTCCCAAACTACTGGTCTGCTTTTTTATGAAAGCAATTCATAAAAAAAATTTCAGCCTAATCGAAGAAAATGAGATCAGAAAGGTGTCCGATTTGTAAAAAAATTAATATAAAAGAATTTCTATAAGCTTGTTTTAATTTTCTTGAAAATCAAGTATGCTTTGAACCATATAATTTTAAAATAACTTTGAAAGATAAAAAAACCTGGATTGAAAATTTCAATAAGTTGAAATAGTTGCTAAAATTTAAAGCAGTTAAAAAATACTGACATTAGAACAGAAACTGGATAAAAAAGATTTTTATTTAATTGAAACCAAAATCTAAAATTTAGTCAAAATAATAAATTTACGAAAAAGTTGATATATAATTTAACTCAATTTTGCAGCGTCTTTTTCAAAAAAAATTGCTTAATTATGAACTTAATCAAGGAGAAAGCAAAACAATGTGAAAAGGCAGTTAAGAATGTAGAAGTAAGTATAGACACTTAAACTCCGTAGCTTACATCAGTATACATCAATATCATTGAATATGAATGAGGAATAAGTGCAGATAATGAGATGCCTTAACAAGGCTCTACCAGAAGTCAATGACCACGAAAGGCGCTCTCCTCATATAATAAGAACTATCCTAACTCGACTGAGTTTAGGATATAGCCACTTAGGTTCTTAAATGCATTATGCATTGAGAATGGAAGGAAGGTCAGAGGGAACAACTCAAGGTTAATTACTAAGGGATGAGGATGTGTGTGGTTGCTATTTAAAAGACTTAACACTTCAGTGAGACAAAACCATATATCAATAAGACTCTTATCAATAGGTGCATTGAAACAAAAAAGAAGCACTATGTATCCCGTAACGCAAAAATTTGTTTTTCAGTCCATACATGTTTCCTGCTCGCCAAATTTTCTTCGATTCACAACAACATTAAAATATTAAAAAGTTTAACATTTTAAAAATTTACATATAAAATATATCACATTTCTTACTTTTAACTTAAGGTGTTACCCAGTATTCCTGCGCAGTTTAATTCGGAAGGAAGATTAGAACAATTGTCGTTTGCGGAGAAAGCTCTTGAGAGAGGTGAAAATATTATAGCATTGCGAGGAAAACGCAGTGTTGTCTTGATTGCAGAAAAAGAAAAAGATCCATTGTATGTGCGAAGTAGTCTTCAGCGTTTAAAATCAATTAATGATACTATTTGTTGTGGATATTTTGGTTTTTGCCCAGATGCAAAACATTTGATGAGGAGAATGCTACTTAACTGTACGCGTCATTGGACGGAATATAACAGGCCAATGCCATTACTTCCATTAGTAGAGATAACATCTGGATATGTACATACCTTCACTCAAGATACTAGTAAACGTCCAATGGGTTGTTCTCTTGTTTTAGGAACACATACAAAAGCGAATGGACCACAACTCTTCGAAATTGGTCCATCTGGTAAATTTTATGAATATTTCGCTTGTGCTGGCGGGCGTGATATGACAAGCCTCAAGAATGAATTAAACAAGTACAAGCATTTACTTCCAAAAATGTCAGCGAAATGTTTAATTGGAGTTGGAAAAAATATGTAAGAAATATATATATTTTTATATTTTTATATATTTTGTTATCTATACTTTTCATCAAATATCTTTCATCACAAAAGTCTTTTGAAAATACGAAAAAAAAGCGAAGCTCGAAAATATTGGATGGATATTGGTGTAATCGGTGAGGAAACCAAAAGTAAACTGGAAATAAATTCGAAACGGTGGAAAAAACTTCTCAGCGGAAAGGATAATTGTAGTAGTTCTAATAAGGATGAGACTACTTGTATGGAGCTGATTCCAAGTGAAGCTGATGACGACGATGATGATAATAATGCTGAAGATGATGATTATGACGATGATGATGGCGATGATGATGACGATGACGATGACGATATCAATGACGATGACGATGACGACGATGATAATGACATTGGCGATGACGATGATAATGATAATACCGAGCGTGATAAAAAGAGTACAGAATATGAAAAGTGCGAGAAGGAGGACACATAACACAAATGTGCTGAATTACGTCCAACAAAAAGAAATAAACGTACGAAATAATTAATCGAAGAATATTTTTATAAAACTATTATGGTCTGAGGACTCCACCTTTACGATTTCGTTATATTGGATCTATTATAATTAAATTAATGATATAAAATTGACTTGTTATACATTGTTTTCATGACATTTTATAATTAACAGATGGGTAAGTCCCATGTGTGAAACTAATCAAGTTTTTTTTCTTCATATATGTAAAAATATTTGATATATTGATTAGTAATCATAGTGAGCCATATATTTTAATAGAATTTGTAAAAAATAAATAGTTACAAAGTAACAACCCCATTTTTTTTTAATGTTCATTCTAAAAATAGTTCATTCTAAAATAGTGTACTGTGTCCGACAAACATTTTCTAATGTGGTTCAAGGCTTAGTTATTGTATTATTCAACCAGGCGGGGTATTTTTACAAAAACCTGATAGCCAATAAAATTTTTAAATGTCAATTTATTTATAGACAAGAAACTACTATCACCTATTAAAATCTTTATCATGCTTTGATTATCTCTAAACAGTTAAAAGCATGTCCTTGATTTGTATTGTTGATTTCGCTTTGGTGTCTCAGTTGGGCTGACTAATATCCCCAGCAGCTCCTTTCGTGAGAGATCCTTTCGTGTAAAAATCAACGATACCTTCTCTTCTGTCCCAAGAATAGAAGCCTGAGTTTCTCAAGAATCGACTGTCTCCACCTTGTTGAACAACATCTTTACGTCTGATATCCCAATGCTAACTTTCTCAGTGCTAGCATTATACGCAGATGACACGTGTATGTTATATTCCGATAAACATCCCAGAAATATAACCAACACGTTGCAGGAGCATGTTAATCTTATCCTGAAATTCTTCCAGAAATGAAAAATAAAAATTATCAACGGGAAAATGTTTATAACTAGGACACAGGTAGTATGCACCAAGAGTGAGAGTTGAAGAGCAGTCACTAGTTGTACGGAGCAGTATGCAGTTCTTAGATCATTTATCGAATAATCAGCGAAGTTTGTATGGAAAACATAAATTAGTTAAAGAGAAAGGAGGAACTCTGTAAAAAACCCCCCAGCTAAGAAAGAGAAAAAGAAAAAGTAAAAAAACTTCAACATAAGATATAAGTTAAGACTATTAAAAAAGGAGATATTTTTTTGACACTCAATTGACTTCCAAATTATCTACTAGAAGCCAGATTTCTTACTCCACCTTTTTTTAAAATGTGTGTATGAGGATATTTTTTCGGCATGTACTTACAATACTTCCGTAATCAGTTTGCAAACATCATATTTCTAATTTTTAATGGTCGGTAAATCAACATGCACAAGAATATGTCCTAGCAGCTTGTACTATATAAATTATCCCATCCTAATGCCAAAATAAGAATAATTCTGAAATAAATATTTATTAACCTCTATATCCATTATATGGTCACAATAATCTTATATATTAATCAATTATTCACAACAATATTAATATCTATTTTGCTCTATATTCTTACGAACCCACTTTATTAAATGAATTTGGCATCACAGCTTTGATGTTGTTCTTCTGCTTAAATACCCTGTATAAAATTTAACAACGGTTTACATTACTCTCATGTCACCCATTGCCAAATATTTACTAATTTACGTGCATATCGTCGAAAAAGCTTTTAACCAAACTAACTTATTTCACACAAATTCGCTGATTTAAGACAAATGCTTCCTAATTTTGGCTTAACGCAACCATGTTTCATGTCCTTATTAAGAATACATTTCTACATATGTTTTTCTCTTATTCCTTCGGATCATGGCAACTTATGTGTATTAACTCGTAACGACGTCTATGCTTAATATGTGAATATATCATCTCTTATAAGCAATATATATGCACTGACGTCATTGTTATGAAGCTGTTACCTACAATAATAATTTTAATTATATGTTTTATATATTTTTCTGTTGTACATAGGTAGCTAAAGTGACTGTCACCCATTGCAACACATTTGAGTCTTCTGATAAAATCGGATCCCAATAACGAATTTCCTTGCCGTTATCCACGTTACCTACTATGACTACTTGAATGGCTAACAATAGTTAGATTAAATTTACTCAGAAACACACATAATTACCTTCAAGAATGACACCAATCATTTTAACGCTTGAAGAAGCTTTAAAGCAGTTTTCAATGGCAGCAAATACTTCTTAATTGAATCCTAGTCTCCTTCTTTGGAACATAATTTTTAGGTCTGCAAACAGCAATCACTCGATCGATATCAGATCCGGAGATAATATATCATATTAGCATTTTAAAACAAAAGTCAAAATAAAAAAGTATCTTTTTCTTCTTTATTTGATTCGTTTTTTAATAACTTCTTTTCTTCAATGTATTAAAATACTAAAGAATATCAACTATAAATCGATACCATAAAATACGAAGCCCAAACCGAACCAAATGCCATTTCGATAGCTTTCACTAGTCACTGTCTACTCAACTAACTGCTTAATTTTTAATATTAGTCCTTTTCTTTTGTAAGCATATCACAAAAGAACAAACGCTTATTTTAAAAATAACATATGAAACAACAACACTGCTTGCTTATTTAGGTCAACTTTTTTGAAACCGCTTAACTAATAAATAGTTTTAATCGCATGATTTCCAAGATTATTGTGAATCTATTGTGAATGATTATTTGGAAGTACGTACAAAATTTCCACAAATATTTAACAAATAATTTTCAATTCTTTTGAATTTACTACTCTTTTCTGATTCACAATCATGTAAAAAATAAAATATGTTTAGCGATACGCTAAAGAACAACAAAGAAGAGGCCTATTATTAACGAAATAAAATATCAAGAAAAAAATTATGCATGTTAAAATCATCGTAAAATATAATTTCACAGTTATTTCATTTAATATAAAATTTTCTTAAATTTAAATTATTACTTTTTAAGTCTCTTAAGTAAAGACTTATAATGTTCAATCACTTCAGGTTCCAAATCAGCTCTAAAGTAGTCCAGAGGATCTGTTTTAATACTAATAACACCTCTACATTCACCCTTTTTGCTACCTGGGCCTGCAACATCTAATTCTTCTACATTGATAAGGATCTTTGGTTCTGGTAAAGGTGAAAGTCTTAATTGCTTCTTGGTTTTCTGAAGCTTACAAGTAGGTGCCAAACGTTTTGGCACTTCATATAAGTTAGTTTTAATATCTTTGGAAGCGATACGCATAACCGGATGATCTTTAAATTGTCTATCTTCAGGTAAGGTACTGATAAGATATGCCAATTGTGTAACTGTGAACGGACTAGTCTGTCGTTCTCCATCCTTAAACCTTTCTTCACTGCTACCAAATGCAACCTTCTTATTTACACGCAACTGTTTACGTGGCTTTGGTTTTATAATCGTATTGAAATGAATTGGCTTGACCAATGGAGTATATTCTTTACGAAACACCATTCTATAATCGCGTTTAGGATCAGTTATCATTTTAATATAGCGCCCATCTGCATACAATTGAATGCGCTTATATTTAGTTTTGGTCCGTGGGATTATTTTTTTAGAAGGCTGTATTATCGGCCCACCTTTAAATAAATGACGAAACCCATGACCTTTAACATGTCTCCATTCAGGTGTATAATATATATCCGGCTTTATTTTTTTATAAGGCAAACGACGAAATTTCAAACGTTTTTGCTTCTCAATTTCGTCTTGTATATTAGGAGAATATTTTAATTTTGAGGAACAGGGACAGAAATGTCTGAATCGACTGTCATATCTGCCAGGTCCTGGCAAGAAACTAGTGTGTTTCGTATGTATGCTCATAGTTTTAATGGGTACTGTTGTTTGTGGGTAATAGGTAACCGCATCGAATACTCTTCTAATAACTTTACCACTGCCATAATTAAAATAAAGAAATTAATAGCAGAAAAATATCAAATAAAAATAAGTGGCAGACCATATATATTTACGTGGAAACGGTGTGTAGCTTGCTGGCCCGGGCATCTCCGGATCACGATAGCATGTCAGTGGATTAGTAATCATGGAACGTGTTGTTGGTCTTCGTTCCCGCGGATCTGGAAAAATATTAAAACACATTATGGATACCAAACTTCAACTATTTATACATATCTTTATATCATATATAAAAATATGCAAATATATTTTACAAAATATTGTATATTAGTGTATGTTTTATTTGGCACTTACTTGTAAGAAATACTCCTTTATATTGGTTCGATTTACTTAACAAATTATCCACAAAGCTTGGTATGTTATAGAACTTATAATCCGACGACTTTCTCGGTTTTTTAGGTTTTGATGGCAACTTTTTCCATAGAGCACCATAACAAGGCTTATCTGCTTTCTCGATAATATTATAAATGTTCGGGGGCAATTGCCATGTTTTTGTAGCAGTCAAAATACGTTTTGCTGTTGCAGTGCCTGCGGCTTTGCAAAATTTCGACATTTTTGATTCATCAAATCCTGCTATGTGCTTAAAATATTCTTTAGTGGCAGTCTGAGCACCTTTTGTTAAGAGCGAGTATTTAAAGTTAGTAACAAACGCTAGATAGATTATTATTTATTTTGTTACCTTTTTCACATTTTGAAACATATGAAGAACATTTCTTATTAAGATAGGGGCCATATTTCCCAGGTAGCTCGCTTCTAATGGAAGACCCTAAAAATTAAAAATTTTAATTAATTTATTGTTTTATGATGATATATTATTATGATATATTTTTACGTACTGGTCAGCAAAAACAATGGTAAAGTTAAGCGATCAGGAACAAACGACATTTTATTGTTGATTGCACTTTCCATTGCAAAGACCTCTGTTTTTTTTAATAGTAGTTAAATCTGTTGGTTTGTTAAATATTTTCTTCCTTATTGAAATATAGTTATATTCTTAACAACAAAATATAACTCAAATATATAAGACACTTTTCATACTAACTTAATATTGTGACTACAATTTTTTTAATTTATTGACTGTATTTTTTTTTAATTTTAAATAATTCATAGCCTACTAATTTTATTCTGGCCTGTACAAACCAGATGCGATCTCGGGCCTTACAAATCACTGCATAAATTGGGGGGCCGCAGAAGCAAATACTACGTTCATAGTTGTTTTCATATGTTGAGCAAATCCTAAGAACATCTGTTAAGTTTTTGAAAGTTGTGGCCCTCGACCAGCACTAGCCATTAAATGATAGCACCAAAAGTAAGTATTAGATACATAATATTCTACTTCATTTAATACCAAAACATGTTGACCAGTAATAATATTTTAATTATTGCATAGAGCCTTATTAATAATATGTATATATACATATATAAAAGAATAGATCCTTGGAACTCATCAAAAATGACTGCGTGAACACTGCAAGACTTACTGCAATTCTTTCTGGTTATTACTGTATAGAAACCCACGCAGAGAAACTGCGCATTCCCAAATAATTCTCACTGTAGAAGTTATGAAAACCCGCAGGAAAAAGAAACCATAATACATTTTCTTTATGAATACCCGGCTTTGGCATCCAGAAAATATTGGTAGAAAGAAGAAATTTACCTTTTTTGATTGTTTATCACACTGTTTATCGGTGAAGATAAAAAACCTATTGAATTATCTAAATTCGTTGGAATGTATTTAGTCTCTACTCTTCCATACTAGGGTTCTTGCGAGGAATATTTTAGCAAAATGGCGAAAAATCGCTAATTGAGGTAATTGGAATTTATCTAATGGCCTGCCACTGCAACCATCCAATCATATGAAAGAATTATATTGTATTTGATCATTTTAAAGTGTTATTTTTCCCTCAAATTTGCTTGTTAAAACTCACAATAAAAAATAATCAAATATCCCACTTTGATATGCCATTCTCAACAACTTGAAACAATGGAATTGTGTTTTCTTTAGGTTTAATATTAATAATAATACATAACATATTAAAGCAAGCGAAATATTTTGAATTATTCAGAAGTACATTTAATGTTCATTTAATGCTCATATATTTAACTTAAACTACAATAAAAACGCATATTCATGAGCAGCCATTTAAACAATTCTACACGGGCATTAGCACAAGAAAACACACACAAACACAAACACACAGTCACGCCCATAAATTTGCATATGTAAACTGAACGCAACACATTAATTCCGTATAATATGTATGACAGCAAAAAAGGTACTTAAAATTATACAAAAACACATACAAAGGAAAGGAGGAAAGGAAGAAAACGTATTTTATCATAATAAAAAATGCAAATGCATAAAAATGGCAAATTTTTGCGCTGACATTTTAAGTGCACGTATGCGAAATATTTAAACAAGGAAATATTGTTTTTCTTTTTATACTTAAATACACTTTCTTTACGCTTAAAAATGTCTGTCTCACAATTACAGGACGACCCTACATTTTATGTCGAAAACTTTCATTTCTTTATACTTAAGTATAAATTCTGATTTATTCACTTTTTATTCACTAAACTTTTAGATTTTTTTTTCACCATTAGACTTACACAGATATTTCTTCCTTTTAAGAATAGCAATCCTTGGTAGATTTATACCTTAAACCCAATATATTCCATTTTGCTGGATCCAATACGAAGACTCAATAATCACGTTTACCCATTTTGTTATGATTGTCTACTATATATTAATCCATATTTCTGTCTGTCAACATCTACCGGACCCAAAAATCAGTGCCGTTATACCTACTATGACGCTCGCTGTGGATGTATTCCTTGCACATCTTTACTCGTAGTCACTTTAAAGGTTAAGACATCATTTATCTTTTTATATCTTCTATAATTATAGAAATTATATATTCCTCTTATATAAAATAGAGAAATATTATTTTTATTAGTATTCGTATGATAGTGATTGCGTTGAAATTAATAAGGCCTAATGGTAAGTAACACTTCTTAACTCTTCACTCATATAGCTTACATAATTTGTTTTACGTGATTTAATAGCTCTTATGATAGACATATCTCCAATAGTCATATTAAAGTTTTTTAAAGATATTTAAAATTTTTCTTACAATATTTTTCAAGTCCCCATGATTTCTTACAACTGTTTCTCAGTCTCTGACATCAAGCCAGAGACTGATACTAATTTCCATTTTGGACCATCGTATTTTGTAAGCGCGTCATTAATTATATATATGAATCATGCTGGATTTATACCGAAAATTAAATTTGGCGTAGCACTGACTTTATTGACCTTACGATCAGTCAATTTATTCTTTACGATACCACAGTGATGAAAAACCTATATTTTATATAAATTTTATTTTAGCTCGGTTAAGAGAAGTTTAAAGAGGAGCTTGACTGTCATGGTAAATACCATATAAATAAATTGCTTTCCACCATTTTCATTTTCATTTCTCTTCGTTAATCCAGCGGGCCTCTTTGGTATGACGAAGACTTCTGGCAAAAAATTGTCACAATATTTTCTATAAAGAAAATATACTTGTTTTCAACCTCTAAACTGAAATTTTAACATTTGATGTATTTCTTTTCTCACTGAAATCTATACCTATATTTCTCGACTTCTCACATTCCCGCAGCTACAATATCTTTTAGGAAACTGAAGTCAATTGAATTAAATTTTAAATAGTTTATTTTAGAGTTGATTGTTAATAGTATTTCCATTGTTTTCGCTGTTTATAACAATCTATTTTAGTTTTGCTATTCCATAGATACAACCATTTTTTTCAGTTAACTTAGATTAACATCGTATCTTGTATGATCCAATGCTTTTCCATCGCATTAGAAGTTAAGTTACACTATAATTACTATTTTATAACCACTATTTCTAGTGGCACATTGTAGATCACCAAATTGTTACCTTTGAAGCCAAAATGAACAAAAGAACTTTTCAACTCATATGCTATGTAAAAAAACTGAAAACCAACTGAATTTAGCATTTTAATGTATCTTAAATTTACATTACACTAGATATTCAGAATGGGAAACAAAAAACCGGAAGTGGAAATACTATGAACCACGTAGGATAAAAATAATGCACATATCTGCGCAAATGTATCTGAAGCTTTTAAATTGAGTTGTCTTAAATGAAAAAAAATGTATCTTATTCAGCAAGCGAGAAATATGAGACTCAGTTCCAAACAATATAACAAACGTATGAGTAACATATATATATATATATATATGAAGCAATACCACACCCACGTTACACCATTACTGTTGGCATATTAAGAGGCGGAGATGTGAACGAAACTCACATCCAAACACACCTTAAACATTGGCTGCAATATAACAAATAAAATGAAAATAATTTGCATAATTCGCATAATCATCGCGCATAATAAAGATTAAAAAGAATTCGTGATGTGCTTATTCGTTCACAATTAACATAATAAAGTTACCTCCTGTACTTTTAGAGTAACGAATTCCTTTCGACCTCCTGGAAATATGCATTTCTTTTATATTTTTTAGTTAAAAATTTAATAAACTGTTTATACTGCATATTAAAATATTTTACAAAATATTTTTGCATTGTCCAAAAAAATTCCACAAAATAAATTTTTCAAATTAATAGTAATGAAATAAATATTTTTTTTTTATTTGCAGTTAGTGATATGTAAGATATTCCAAATGAAATCATATTAATTTCATACCTTTCATTTTGAAATTAATAAAAAATATTTATTAATGTTTATAACAGTATAACTCTTAATTTTTTTTGGTCTTTTTCCAGACAACTCGGTCAGTAAGCTGTTAGTGATAGACGTTCTTTTACAATCTACCAATTATAGATTCGTTATCCCCTTCAACTCTTAAACCCTGCTTACCTTTAATGGTATTTCTGTACTCTCTCACTTGGTATCGTAGATATCTGATAAAACTACGATTACTTTATTTTTCTCAAATTTTACAATATTTTTCAACACATAATGTATCCAAATATCTAATCTTCTTCTAAATCTTCTTACCGTTCCCTTGCAAATCTATCACTTTAATTAGTAATATCAGCACTTACCACCTATAGTTCACACAAATTTACATTTAATCACCTATACTAATATCAAGCTATAATCAATAGATCAATAAACTTTACTTCAAACAAAACAAAAGGCTTACAAACAAGCAGACTTCTTAGACGAAGAACAAAAAGAAAGATACACAAAATATTAATATCATTATTTTTAAGACCCACAGTTTCGGCTATAGCGGTCAATGGCCAGACTAATTGAGCCTGACCACTTTAATGGGGAGTATCCTGTTAGCTATAGTTAAAACCCAAAGTTACACAAGTAGAATGACTGTATTTATTCATTTTACTCGATGTACAGTTGAATTTTGCAACCGAGAGCTATGCGCCAGATAACAGAAGAGGTGTTAGATGGGCTCCACTTTCCTAAGGACAAATTTATAAAAGTGAGAACGTTTATAGTTGCTAAGAGTGTTAAGAACGCCGTGGTGTTGACTCTCAACAAACATGTGACTATTATTTTAAAAAAAACAGTTTACTTTACTTGTAAGATAAAAGCAGGTAGGGTCTTTTACTCTGGAGTTACCCAAAGGGTCGTACCAATAACTTTTTTTCTGCACCAACCCATTCTGTTGTCCAATACTTAGTTATGGATATTTCATTATCATCATCCTTGGCGTGACAGTCCGTGTAGAACATAGGCCAGTCTTACAACAACCTTCCATTCTTTTCCGTTCCTTGTCCAGTTCCTTATACTCATTTTTCTAGCTCATTCTGGACACTAACATTCCAAGTTGTGGATATTTATACAAATTAAATCGCATTACCATTTATATATCACTTTTTCTATAAAATATATTTTTTATTCCAGATTAAGTTAAAAAACAACTAAATTTTAATTATTGAATATTTAGGTCTAAGCAAATTGTCCGCGCCCTATATTTTTAACCTAAAATTAATTGTTAATCTAATAGGATTCACAGCTAACTGGCATACTA